CTGGCAACCTGCACACCCCCCGCTCCATGCGCGCTGCCCGCTCGTTTGTTCGGCATCGCTGCTAATGATTTAAATGCTTTAATTTATGCTGGCTTTTCCACATTTATCATCAAAAGACTCCTGGCCTCCGAAGGTAGCATATATTTACTCGTAAATATGATTTGTCGCCGTGCATTATCATAGATATGTAGACACTGGCACTGCCGCGCTTCCCTCATCCGTTGTCTGGGATCCGCTGCTGGCCAACCAACACCTAGCCGGGCGAACGGGTTTTGCCAGTCAAGGCGCCAGCTGACCCATATAATTCTGCACACTGCGCCAGCCACCCGATAACGACCCGGGCAGCTGGAAAAGCAGCCCGCGAGGAAATGCGTTTTCCAGCGCTCTCTCCCCACTTGACCCCGGCCTCGCCGCATTCCTGTGGCAGTAGTCCGCCGGGGCTGTCTGTGAACGCATCAATCTCGCGTACACTGTACTGCATTTCCTGGCCGTCTCTGGCCATGGCAAAAGACGCCTCGTCTGGCCCCTGGGGGTCACGCGGGGAGTGCTCTTTGGGGGCATGGGGCCAGGCAGAAAATGCGTTTTTAAATGGCTTTTTATGCGTGGCGCGGGCTTTTGATGTTCGACACATGCCGAAAATTCACAGCTCTGGCGGTCGCCGCTCTGCTCGGGCCTGTGATTAATGTTTGCAAGAAACGCGAATACAAATGAGAGAATGAGAATGCGAATGCGCTTTTAAGAACTTTGACAAGGTCCTGACTCGGCCAGGTTCTTTCCCTTTTTCCCCCTTTTTTTTCCTTGCCAAAAACATTTGTGTTGGCTTCCTTTTTTGGTAACAGTTGGACTCGTTTGAGAGACTTGGTCTTAGCCTTAGTTTGGGCTTCGTCTTGGGCCTCCCATATGGCCCTGATAAAGTTATTACCCAAATGTAGTTCTCACACACTCTCTGGCGCAGCGCTCTCGTTCCCGCTCCCGCTCTCGGTGTCGCTCTGGTGCTTCTCTCTCTGCATTGCTAATTCTCTCATTTGCTGTCTCTTGTGCAACTGTCGATGCTTGATTTTCGCTTGTCTTTATGATCGGCTTGCTGGCTTTGATCTTGACGCCGCTACCCCGTCCAGTGTTCCTGTCTTGGTCCCGCTACCAGTTCCCTGTCCATGCCAAGTCCCCCTTTAGCGGAGTCGCGGGTAATGGGGAAGAGAAGAAAAATGCAACTCGAGCTCAATTAGTGCTCATCAAAAGCGTGCAGGTAACACCTTCAGTGCGTTGCTTTTGCACACCTCTTCTCCGAGTATCTCTGTGTGTGTATGTATCTCTGTCTGTGTTGTATCTGTGTGTTCTGGTGTCAGTGTTGGTGCCTTTTAGCAAAGGCGTCACTTGTTCTTGTTCTTGCCTTGACTCCAACCGGACCGAGGTATGCAATTTGCTCCGAGGGTCTCCAGTGATGGACCACCCGTGCTTATGCCAATGCTCGTAGTGTGCAGCCCTCGGGGCTCCGTTCAGTGAAAGCAAATCAGGCAGTTATCCATTTTTGAAAGCTAAGCCCAAAAACTGCCGCCACGCAAGTCTCATTTCTGTTTATGTTTCTTTTTGTTTTTGTTTTTGTTTTGTAGTTTTCCCTAGCTGTATTAATGCTAATGCTTTATGGATAGTCGGCACGCAAACTCAACTCATATTTCTCTGCCACTTTTACTATGGCAAATTATAATTTTTAATAAATTATTTGAGGCGCAACCGTTAATTAGAGAATTTATGCGAGCGCCGTCTTGTCAACTTGTTTCGGCTGTCCCAGAACCCCCGCTTCGAGGCATATTTTGTTTCTTTTTTTTCTTGCAATATTTCATGCATATTTTATGCGCCCTGCCACCTGCCCCCAACCGCAGTCAAACACCCCACAGATGCCGACGCAGATGCCAGCACAGTTTGTGCCCGAAGTCATTTTCTCGATTTTATTGAGGCAAACGAGTCTCCTCGCTATATACTATATATACTTAGTATTTAATCTGTAGACTCGCATATCTATGTGTAGGAATATTCTTGGGCATTCGCGCTGTTTTAATGTCATTAGCGAATTTCGTTGAAACGCTCTGCTGTGCAGCCATTAATCATTTGATATGAATTTTTATTTTATTTTACACTTCGGCGGGATTTCTTTTTGTTTGCTTGATTTATGTTTTCGCCAGACTTCTCGCTGCTTGTTGACTTGTGCATTGGGCTTGATCTATTGAATGATTTTCCTGGGAAGCATTTAAAATGAATGAAGTTGCAATAGCAACGGCAATTGTAATTGCAACTGCAGCAGAAAAACTTGCATGTTGTTTAGGGAATTTTGATGAAGTTTTTACGGAAAATAAAGCAAAAAGTTAAGCGGGAACCATTAGGATGAGACATACAGTGGTTTTACATATGTATAACTGCCATGGGACTGATCAGCCCTCAGGGAACCCAATGGGTTAGTCTTAAAAGATTAAAAGTAGTTCTTTGTAGCTATTATGTAGTACGGTGTCGAACATTTTCAATTATCCATACAGCTGTGTGTTAAGGCGTTCGTGATTTCAGATACACACCAATTCCATTTGTCTTATCGGTGGATTTGATTTTTAATACCCAGCGATCGCAGGGCAAATATTTAAACAACAATTACTGGCCAAGTGGTCACTAATGTGACAGATAGAATCTAGCTGGCGCACCAGATACACCACATACCTACCATAAAGAGGCGTGGCTGTACCAGCGGATAGTCATGGCACGCTATTCGAAATGCCATGTCAGGCGGAAGGCAAAAGGCCATCACCCAACCAAAGAAATGTCTGTATATTATATACACCACTCGCATGTGTATTTATATATGTTTATGGACCGGTTATGGATCGGTTGATTTGGCGTGACTGCAAATTGCCTTCTAACAGCAGCTTTTTGTTGGGTTCCATTTGCATGGTAGTTAGCACACGACCTGCTATATATTACCCATTATCATTCCCATTCCCTTTCCGATTTCCAATTATAATTATATAATTTATGCTTAATCTTGCATTTATTTACAATTTTGACCTCACCCCACTGCCACCACTCCCATTCCATTCCAAATTAAGTATACGTCTAGTTGAACTAATTAGTTTCGACTCTCTGGCGTTTTCTTTGGCTGAAAGCAACCTCACACTCGGATCGGACAGACCAGACCAGACCAGACCTAGACCCAGACCACGCCCCAACCCGCGACCCCAGACCCGCATGTTTTAAAATGTTTACACTGCTATCTGTCAAATCAACTGTCAACCCAAAGAGCCCAGCCAGCCATCATCATTGTAGCCGCTGTACGTGCTCTCTCTCTCTCTCTCTATAAACATGTGTGTGTTTGTGTGTTTGCTTGTGGTGCGTTTTGTGGTTCATGCTCCGCTGGGCCCCAGTCTTTTGTCAAGTGGGAAAAGTTTCAGTAATTAAATTGTAATTAGGGATGCATCCGCCGCCTTTCCTGCTACTTTGTGCCGTTTGTGCCGTTTGTGCGTTCAATAATGCGACTGTCTCTGCCAATTGTCTTGGCGTTTCATCAGCCAGCAGCCAGCAGCCAGAAGTGGCAGCAAAAGCGGCAGCCCGTGCTGATCACCACCACCATCCTCAGGTCTATGACCATGCCTGCCTCCCATTCGTCCCATTACAATTATAAACATACCCTTCGCAGGGCACTCTTAATAGTAACATCTGTGTGTACATTGGTTCAAGTATATTTCATTATACATGTGGGCTGTCCACTCGGAGATACTTCATCAAATATTCTTCATATAGCGAGATACATCCCAATAATTATGCAGAAATACCATTCAAATAAAAGAGTATGAATCATTCGGATCTGCTTGTACGTAAGCGTGCAGTTTCTTTTGCCCCACAGTTGCACTATGTATGTAATTGACGAGACCTAACGACAGGTCCATTGTTCAAATGGATACAACTTTTCAGCCATTTTCATTGTAATTATTTAGTGCGAGTATCTGGCTGGTCTTTGCCGTATCTGCTGGCAATCGTCATGTGGCCTGAGCAGCGAGTGTTGTGGGGAAACTGTGGAGCACTACAAAATGGGGTTGGGCTGTCGTTGCTCCTAATTACCAGACGGAAGTGCCTCAGATCATTCCCTCAACGGGCCATGCCGGTTACGGCTTTTGATCAATATCGCAATTTGCAATTGCAAAAGAATGGGTGACGGGAGGATCTTCTTCCAGACCGGATGCCTGCGATGTGTCTTGGGAAAATATATTTTCACAAACTGTGGCGCTTAAGTAAGAGCAAGCAAGCTCGGGCTGCTCTGGCTGCAGCATCTGTGCGATAATCATAATCATCTCTGGAGCTGGGGCTGCGGCTGGGAGTGCACTCAATGCCAGTAGCAGTTGATCAACCGATCAACCGATCAGCTGATTAGACGGCTGGCTGGCTGGCTGGCATTGTGGCAATCCAGAGCGGGGCACGAACCAATTGGCTGTTGTACGTGCGCCGCGTAAATTCAATTTCAGTAGCGACCCACGAAGCTCAGCTTGAGTTGGGGCTGCTGATGGATGGTCTGAGTAGATTGGATGGATGGATGGGTCCGCGGCTTAACGAGAAATCAACGCCGCTAAGCAAATTATGCCGAACGATACGCATGCGCCAGAGACCCATCATGGGTCTGGCACTGGCACTGGCTCTGGATCTGACTCTGACTCTGAGTCTGGGAAAGGCAATCGCAATCAAAGTGGATGCCGAGATGGAGAATGGTCAGCCAGGCAGTGTGGTAATGGTAATGGTAATGCCTGAAATTGATTTAGCCACCTCGGCCTGCCTGACCTTACTACTGTTTTTACGCCTTAAGCAGAATCTCATCAAGAGGTAATGACAACAATTGATCAATCGCTGGCCAGGCTAATGGTTATGACGGTATAGGCATCGGCATCGGCATTGGGGTTTACTCCACCGGTAGCTCTTGTTTATATTAAAATGTAATTTGGCTGCGGTTTCATCAGCCAGGTGGCACTCACCTTGCTCCTCGTCAAAGTTCTTGGTGGACAACTGGAACAGCGCGTCCAGCGGTGTGTCTGCCCCAGCTTCAGGCTTCTTCTGCCCCATGTTGGGCGGCGGCGGCGGCCCCTCTGGCGGCGACTGCTTCTCCTTGGGGCTGCAGCAGTCGGTGCTGCCGTTGCTGCTGCTGGAGCGATGCGAGTGCTCCGAGCTGCCATCCTCGGACGGTATTATGGCGGGATTCATGCTCATCTGGCGGAGGAGCTGCGCCTGTGCCTGGAAGTGCTCCTGCAGCTGGCGCTGGTAGTCCCAGGCCAGGCGCTGCTCATAGCTGTGGAGCAGGGCGGGCGATAGGAACGGATGGAGTCCGCCTGGAGCGGGGCAATGGATCAGCTGACCAGCAGCCGGCGCCTGGAGACGCTCATGGATGAGCACCACTGGAGCGGCCGCATGGGCAGGTGCCGGAACAGGGGCGACACAGGACGTAGCGGCGCCCGCTGGATTGGGCGTGGCTGCCTTCCGATCCTGCTCATCGTCTGCCCGTCCCAGTATGTCCGCAATGGAGAAGCTCTTGATGCGGATGCCCCCCTCGCCGGGCTGACTGGCCTTGAGGCGACCGTTCTGGAGGGGCGTGGGACTGCGCAGGAGTCGCAGGCGCTTCATGTTGAGGGCCCGCATCGTGGAGGCTGGCGGGGGCGGGCTGGGCGAGCCCACAGAGATATCGGACACGGCCGGACTACTGCAGCAGCGCGGGGAGGTCATTCCGTCGGGGCTCGGAGTGCGTTGGGGCATCGTTCAGGTTCTGGTTGTGATCCGCTTATGGGGGGGGCGTTTAGCACATTTTCCGATCTTCAACACTGTTGGAGGCGGCCGAAAAACGCGTCGGCAAAAACGCGCAGAGTTGTGGCGCGGCAGCAACACGAAACACGGCACAACGTGCAACACAAACACCAACAACGAAAATGGCTCGTGGCTGTGGCCCAGGCCAGGCCGGGCTGGGTTGTTCTCTCTGTGCCTCTGTGCCTCTGTGGCTGTCGTTAGTTGCTCTGCTCTCTTCTGGCCACCCTCCCTGTCGCTCGCGGTGTCTGTCTTTGGCTCTCCCGACCGGTTTTTGGGGCCAAAACTTGTTTGTCCTGCTCGCGCGATGACGTCACGGCCGCAGCTGCTCCCTCTGGCCGCAGAGGAAGGCGGTGCCAGAGAGCTACGCCGTAGACAAAAGAGAACGTACGCGGACCAATCAAAGCCCACCTACCCCGCCCTCGACGCGGCGCTGTCAACGTGCGAACGTCATCAATTTGTACAATTTGACATGCGCTCAGTCAGCGCTCTCTCTCTCGCTCTCACTCTCTCTAGCTCTCTCACTCTCTCTCTCTATGCCTCTCTTTCTTTGCACGATTCACTATCTCTTTCTTGCTCGGTTTCCAAGCGGCTGGCTGGCTGCGTTAATTATCGTAATTGCCGACGTTGACGCCGACGCTGTCCCTCTTTTGGGCCCAATTCAGCCGCCTAGCTGTTGGCCCACTCAATTGTCATCAATAATGATGTCTAGTTCAGAGTCGAAGTCGGAGACGGAGTCTGGTACCGTTGGCTCTCCTCCTCATCCATTTGTGCCGCTGATGAATTCGCTGAAAAAAAAATAAGAAACGTCTTTAAATTAAAGTTTTCCACTGTCCCCTCTCCATCCTGGTGGCACACATTTTACGTTTCGTTTGGCTTGCAGTATTCCAAACCCAACACCTCCCCACCCCCTCCCCTGCTAGAGTGCACCAGCAAATTGATTGCAACTCTCTGCTCCGCTTGCAACATCATGTCCGTTCCGTTCCCCACTTCATTTGTTTGTCAGTGTCAGTTTTTTATTCAATTTCGCTTCGCTGTTTGTCCTCGTTTTCTTTTATTTTTCTCGCGTTTTCCTGCATTTTGCATGCAAGTGTCTATTTAACTGCAATGCGCCCTTTGTCGATGGACGTGCAGGTGGGGGAGGGGGCAGGGCACTGTGCATTCGGCTAAGTGAAATGATGTAACTGCTCAACCGTAATCGATAGTAGACCCTACCACTACTTTTACCCCTGCCTTGCCCTCACGAGAAATGGGTATAATTGTTTACTAACAACTACTGCAGAGGAACAAAATTTCGAGGCTTTAGATCACTTAATTATATGTAAATTAAAACGAAAAATAAATAAAATAAAATAAAATAAAGAAATACGAATCATTCAGAAGCTTAACCTACATATAATGAATTAAGCTTAAATGCATTTAAGAATGAATTTTATATTAATAGAATTTATAGCAGAATTAAAAAAGAAACTTTCTCCCTTTTTTTTTAGCAAAAAATAATAAATTAAGGAATTAATATATTCTTTTACCCCGAAGGGTCTGCAAGCGTCGACTTTTAGTCGCTTCGTGCCCATCCATTTTCACTTTCAATGTCGTTCTGGCATTTGCAGTAGTAGTCGCCGTTAGTTTTGGCCTCTACGCTTGCCACCTTCTTCTGCATTCTGCTGCAAGATGGCCGCGCTGTTGTGCTTGATTAATGCCTGCACTTGACAGACTTGATGGACTCTTGACTGACTCGAATGTGGCTCGGTTTTTGCTCGCTCTCTGGCCGGGCTAATTTCTCTAAATTGAATGCCTCCTTGGCCGCGAATCGCTGCTAGGAATCGTGTTCGCATTCGTATTCAAAATCAATTATAAAATGACTCTTAATTGGGCGCCTCAATAGACGCGACACGCCCTGTCAATCATAATTAGCTTGTGCCCCTAGCCCAGCCCAGGCCATCCACTCGATATCCATTCCCCTGCCCATGCTCACTCCCGTTGCCATTCCTCCTGTTTCATATTCACACTGACGCTGACACTCGTATCCCATATCCACATCCATATACACTCGAAGCATTCGACACGCCTCTAATTCTGCAAACTCATAAGCCAAATATATCAGTCCGCTCTCCGTCCCTCCGCTCCGTGCAGTTATATCCTTTCATTAGTCGGCCCAAGATGGCGATCGGCGTAGTCTCTGTGTTCATTAAAACCTCATAAATAGCCAAAGTGTTTATTGTGGCAAGCGTACATAGGCATACATACAATACAATTCACTGAGAGCCACACATCTGCGTCTGGCAGGCCAGGCCCAATTCCCCGGGGTCTGTTGCTCCTGGGCGGGAGAGGGCTCTTCAGTGCGGCCCTCGTATTTGAGTACATTGTCACTGAAGGAGGAGGAGGAAGAGGGGAGAGTCGAAGCAGGGAGTCACTTGGTAATAAAGTCATTGCTGTTGTTGTCAAATTTGTCACGCCCCTTCGGCGGGTACGAGGTGGCTGCTGGCGATGCATTAATGTCGCCTTTTGTTTTGCTGATGCTCCGAAACCCCTGAATCCCGAACCCGATGTTCATGTTCCTGTTCCTGTTGCCCTGCCTGCCTGACGATGATGATGATGATGATGATGAAGTTGTGCCAGGCAGTTGTCAACTATCAACGCCGAATGAATCCCATCCCAGGAACTGTGGCTGCCACATCCCAATGCGAACCGAAATGCATGCCAATTAAAGGGCAGCTTGAAGGCAGCCTCAACATCAACTTCAACTCCAACCTCAGCACGAACCTCAGCTGCACCCAAAAAAAGAATCTGTGACGAATCCGCTTATGACTGCGGGCTGATGCTGATGCTGAGGTTGAGTCGGTGTGGCAGAACGATCCGATCCGATCCCCGGCCTGGCCAACACCACATCATCATCATCCAGGCGTCTTCGACACTTGGGACAGCTGTCAACATTTGGCCAACTCATTATGCAGATTTTGACCACAAAGGCGACTCGCAAAATGTCGCAGACAATTTGCTAAACGAACACTTTGTGTCACACGGCTCGCAACGTATCGGATGGGATCTGGATGCATCTATTAAGAGCAGCCCGGAGATCGGTCAACTTAAGGGTTCCCAAGAAGCCGCAAAACCCAAAATGACACCAACGCCAGCCGAGCCGAGCCGAGCCGACATCTTTGGGCTACCGCATACGAAAATTATGGTCTCAAACGAAATACCTTAGCGTTTATCCACAAGATACACAAAAGTGCCGCGCCTTGGGGCAACATATCGTATCGTACAGCCTGGACCGCGGTCAGAGTTGGAGTCGGAGTCGAAGCAGTGGCAATTTGTATATCTTTGTGATAAATCAAAACATTATCAATAATAAAATCGGTAGCCGTTTGCCACTTGGAAGCGTTTGGGGCGAATTTTGTCGGCTTTTTGGTTGTGGTCAGAGCCGAGGCAGAGAAGGTGCCGGAGAAAACAAAAAAAAACCAAAAACAGAAAATCCCAAAAGCATTTTTGAGTGCTAGTGCTCGTGTGTAATTTGTATGCTAATTCAGCATCGAGTTGAATGTCTGATGAAGCTTAATGTCAGCCAAACGAATCGATCGAGACACACGGCAGTGGAAAGAGGCTGTGGCAGGGGCTGGGGCTGGGGTAGAGACTAGTGCGGGGAGTCCAACTAAAGTGACACCCATTAACACTTTTTAGTTTGTAGGAGCTGTGAATCTTTCGATTTTCACAATTTCTGACGAGGCCAAAGCGTTCCCTTATCGATGATATAGCGGTACAGCAACTGGAACTGGCGTCAACGCATTCCCATCAAACGAATTAAGTGGCCTCAGCATCGGCAGCAGCAGCAGCAACAGTACCATCGAACTTTGTCCGCGAACGAGTCCAACGCAAAATCCAACGTTGTTGATGGACACTGAACCTCACGCTAGAGGCGCCTACGTGTGTGTTCTGTACGAGATGGGGCTAAGTGGCTGATTGGTCTTGGATGCGATGGGATGCGATGGATTGGAGGAATGGAAATGTAGGAATATGGACGTGTATGGACATGGCGGTTCTTTGTGTGTGATCTTATCGTGATAGAAATTAACCGCTACCAGATTGAGGATTAGCATATCAGTTCCAAATTCAGCTGGGATAATTTTTTTTTTTTTAAAAAGAAGAGACGGAACTCGATTGAAAATCAGTGCTGGAGGAGAATCAAAGAGTTCAGAGTGAAGGGAGGACTTCGATATGAGCTTAAGCATACTTAGGAGTTGTTTAAGTGTTTTTAAAGATTCATTAATATAATATTGTTAATTTTTATATCTATCACTAGCTTTGGTGAAAGAAAACCATCAATAGTGTAAGAAGATCTAAAGTGCACTGAGAACACTTGATTGAGAATGATTTTATTTTATATTTTTTTAACAAAAATTTACATATTTTTCGAGCAGTAAATGTTTTAAATAATTTGATCATAATTGTTGTTGTTTTCATATTACTGGCATCAACATTTTAGATTTTTCTTAAACACTTCTTGGCCGCTTTTTTCATATCCAACTCCTTTGAAGAAAATGTTAATGTTGCTTCTCATAATTTACAACTTCATTAACGTTTCAAGGAATCATAAAATTTCATTCATGATTCAGATAGTGAATGTGCAAGTAGTATTGTGTTTATTTTGTTTATTTTCTTGTTTTTGGATTCTTTGATCGAAATATGCCGCATCACGATCAACTTCTCTGGGATGAATGAAACAGAAATCAGTGGACATAAAGCAAAAACAAATTGCTCTCAGTGCGCCTCGCTCGTTTCCATGGGTACCATGGCTTTTCTGCTGTTTCATTTCCATTTGGTATTATCCTGTGGCCCAAAACGCGGCAGAGCGGCAGTCGGGGTGCCCGGCCCGAGGTGTCGGCTGTAAGCTAATTGGAAGCGTGTTCAAAGGTGCCGCCAACAAATTAAGTATGAGTTACCAATTTAGCTTTTATATCTCTATCGCGCACACACACACACAAACACACACACACACACAGACGCATAGATACACACGCACACGAATGCATTGGCCAGGAACCGAGACGCGGATGTTGCGAGTAGTTGTGCCTCTTGGGGGGCGACACGATCCGCAAAAGAGACAGAGAGAGAGAAGAGCTGAGCTGAGCTTCTCTGGGTCTCGTTCTCTCTGGCCCTCGCTCTTAACTGGTTTGTTCCCTCTCACAACTAAGTTGTAAAATTGCAGTCCTTTGATTGCATTTGTGTGCCAAGCTGAATTGTTTGCATTTATCATAATCAGCAGTGAGGGGACGTGGAAGCGGAGTCGTTTGTAACCGCCGCGAGGGCAACTTTTCATCTTTTGGCAACGCGGCGCCAGTTAAACTGGAACTGAAAGTCCAACATTGACTCCATCTCCGTCTCCGTCTATGGGGAGTCCGACTGCATCTCCATCTCCGACTGCGACTGCGAGTGCAGCTTGATATAGGTCGAGTGTGAGCCCTGTGTGTGTGTGAGAGCAGCCAGCACTTGATCGTGTGATCTGTCCTCCTCTGACGAGGGAAATGTTGAGTAATTGCTGACAATATGGCTGAGCAGGGAAGACAGAACATTTAGTTGGGGAACGGGAACGGGAACAGTCACCCCAGACGAACTTAAAGGCGTTCCAGTTACTCCAAAAAATTTGCTAAATTACTGAACTGCTGCACTGCTGTTTTGATGTTTTTATTTGATAGATTGCAACTTGCACTTTTCGAAATTACAAAACTATTAAACGTCTATATTTTCTGCTGATATGCCCCAGAAAGGATCCATGAAACACATGTAAATAAGAAGAAAATTGTATTGGGATTTAAAAAGAATTATTATGTATATTTACATATTTATAGGGAAAGCAAAATAGTTTGGAAAATTGAATTATAATATTTATGTTGTATGTAGCTAATTTCCATCCAAGCTTTTTTTCAGTTAACCTATTCAAAGTGCAGTTGTAATTTAACTTTATGTTAATTTAGCTACGACTTCTATTTCTTTTGTGTGGTGGTACTTTTGGTTGGAAGTATCTACCATCTAAATACTCAATTAATTCTATTAGCAGGTAGATTTTCAAACTTACAAGAAGAAAACATTATGACGAGCATCTGGCCGGGGCCTCATTAAAGCCGGGGCCGTGTAGAGTTAGGCTCATGAGGCACATCCACTCAACTCATCGTGCTGTTGGTTCATTAGTCATTTTTAGTTGATTCGATTAATGGGTTTCGACATTTACGCATTTTTGTGTTTGTTTTCACGGAAGTGCTGAGAGATTTTCCCATAATTAGAGCCGCAGTCCCAGTCGCCGTCGCAGTTTAGCCCGATTTGCCGGGCGAATTTTCTCAGCTACTAAAACCTAATGCCACCGGTAATGGCTGCAGTAATGTGTGCTTACCCACCCATTCCCCAGCTGGTGTGTGATACTCGCACTGGAGTACAACTTAATTTCAATGAAATGGTTTTTTAGGTCTTTTACTTTCGCCGCAGCACTCTCAAACGGGGAGGTATTAATAACACCCAAGAAAAGGGATGAGGGAGACTGAACTAGATGGGGGTTTGCGGGTGAGTGTCTTTTAAGTTTCCTTTATCGCGGCACATGCGTTGCATTGTCACACATTTGGAAATGAAAATAAATTGCCTTTAACTAAGTTTGAGATGTGGCTGTTCGATCTGCATCTCATGCATATGCAAGAGGTTTTTCCCGGCTACTTTACGAACTGTGAGAGACAATCGAGCGAGCGGCTTGGACCAGTTCTTCCAATCGGTCGGCATCATTAGCAGCGGAATTGATAGCTTGATTATTCAAATGATTAACAAACGATCGGCGGCTGGCTTGGACGCCGCTCAGCGGAGTTCGTTGAGATCGTTTTGGGGATCGTTTGGGGAGAGCGAGATTGATGGCGCACTTCAGTTTAGGAGGGCTCGCAGGTCATCCTCAGTCTCCGCTCCCCCTCCCTGGTTCGGGAGTGAAAAATGTATGCGCCGATGGCGACGCTGGCTAACTTTGAACTGCGCCGCAAACGGTAGCCGGAGCAGCTCCCCGCCAGCCGTTCCAGTTGGGTATTTATGAAAATGATCGCTTCGAAAATTAATAAATATCGAAATAATTTCAGTGAATTTCATATGCAAATTGGCGCCGTGCACAAATCTGCAAAGCTTTAGACACTTGAAGCGGCGTTCCAGCTTGGGTCCGTTCGACTCGTTTTCGATTGTGGCAAGTGATTAAATTAATAATTAATTTGTTTTAGTTTATGAATAACGGTTGTAAATAATCATTAATAAAAATTAAAAAAGATTTCTTTTATTTTAAGGCTCCGCTTTGGATTCAGACTCGGATTCCGATTCTGATTCGAATTCCAGCTTAATCGGAGACGAAGATCCAACAAAATACGTAGCAACATCATTAAGATTGTTCGAGGCATTCGCGGCACAATATTTAAATTTAAATTCAGAATCTCAATTCTGAATTCCGAATTGAACTCACCGACAAAAGCCAAATGGGAGCTGGTAGCTCTCGTTTCGACTCGATCATTGTTTGCTTAAATATGTTCAAATTTATTGACAACAATTTGTGGTCTTTTGTGCTTCTCTTTTTTTTGTCTGTGTGCTTTGCTGAAATTATTAATTGGAGTAAAACAGATTTGGCCTTTCGGCGCTAATTGGGCCGGCTACAGTGGAGATATTTGTGTGTGGAGAAATTTGAAATGCTCTCTGGCCAACAGTTTGGTGGCTCTGAAAAGAGCCGTTTTGGGTGTGTGTTCTTATCGGTGTGTTGAAGAGCTCTGGCTCGGTGCTGAGCCTGGTTCTGCTACTGGTTCTGGTTCTGGCTCTGGCTGGTTCGCTGGCCAACAGTGACCTTGGTCCTGGCTGAGTTACTCTGTGTGTCCCTCTCAGTTGCTGGCTGGCCTTACACGTTGCCTTTGCCCTGTTTGAATTGGCCTTGGGAAGAACTTCAGGCTGTCCTGGCACTTCCTGGTGGCCTAAGCCCAGTGCTGGGTCGGGGAACTCTTTCGTGTGGGAGCTGCGCCCGACTCCCTCGCACTCGACTCAAAATTAAACAAAATACTCGACTCCTCGTTGCTCACTTTCTGTACCATTTATCAGGTTGAATATGCGGTTTCTATGCGCACCAGGCCGCGCCTTCATTTGGGTGGTGCACCGCCCAGAGTCGAGGCAGCCGATCCGGGCAGTTGAACCGTCACCATGCCCGCCGCGGCGGCAGCGACAGCCAATCCCACCATATCCGCCTCGTGCATGGGCTTCTTCTTGAGGATGCTCAGATCGTTGACGTTCTCCAGGAAGGACTTGTGTGCGGAGAAGACCTTCACACTGTCAAAGTCCTTCTTCAGCTCCTCGATGTCGCGCTTCTGCTTGGCTCGCCGATTCTGGAACCAGGTGATCACCTGGGCATTGGAAAGGCCCAGCGAGGCGGCGATCTCATCCCGATCGGCTGGCGACAGATACTTCTGGTAGAGGAAACGCTTTTCCAGCTCAAAGATCTGATGGTTGGTGAAGGCAGTGCGGGACTTGCGTTTCTTCTTTGGCTGCGGCCTGTTCGAGAAGATGTCCAAATGGGATTTGTCTGCAATTCGGAAATAGAGAGGGAGAAAGATGGTTAGTTGAAGTCCGCTTAAAGGTGGTGTTCAGGTGTGGTTGAACCGGTTGCCTCATGCTAACAAGCAGCTTTGCCTTAAGTTTTAATTGCCGGATGGGGACGGGGTAGGGGCAGGGCAGGCGTTAATTTAAATGCCAAGCGATTGATACATTTTAATAATGCAATTGGAAGTGCAATTCTTGCCATTCCGATTCCAATTGCCATTGCGCTTTCCCAGACACCTCAGCCTCAGCCTCAGTTGCAGCTTCAGCTTCAGCGAGTCAGTTCCGTTCCGTTCCCAGAGTGTATAATTTCGAGTTGATTGATTGCGCGAGTTGTGGGCGTTCATTGAGTGAGCGGATCTAATGACTCCCCCGGCCTTATGCAATCTTTGGAGCGCTCATTTGTCTCGTTTGACGTGTGATTTATAATAATTATTGACACCTACAAATCAGTTTTAAGTGGTACAGTGCCAGTACACCTAGCCGGGCTTGATTAATGAGCCACTGGCCCATACTTAAAATGCAGCTTGCTCTATCCGATCAAGCTTGCATAACATTTCCTGGTTCAGAGACAAAGTCTCCAGGAGCGGCCCCCACTCCAATCAAGGCGGCAGCTTAGGCCGATCATCAGCATAAATATTTATATTTATTGAATATTGGCCAAGCCAACCGGTTCGACATCCGATAGTTTCACACCCATTCCGATTGCTTGTCAAACAAACTAGATCAACATTAAAAACTAATTAAATGCCCGCCAGCGTCAGCCAGACTCAAACTCAAACTTCAAACGCAAATGAATGCCACATGAATACCCGTATGAGTGTGGTGCGGCTATACCCTGGTCGGGCTATTCGAAATGCAAACGCATAATTTGGCCATTCGTTATCTTGAGCGCGTTTTGTAACCCAAAACCCATTAGGCACTTGACTGCCTGCACGCCTCTCACCACTCTACACTCTCTCCACTCTCTCTCTGGCTATTTCTCTTTCTCTTTCCCTGTATTTGTTTTTATCAGAGACTCATTAAGTAATTTTCATGACTTATCTTTACAGCGCAGGGAAAAACTGGAACTCGAAGTCGAAAGAGAAATGTGCAGGCCACTTGGGTATCCTGTGCCAGTTCCCTCTCAGCTCTCAGGTGTCCACTTACAGGGCCGCACTCGTAAATCGTTGCCTTAGTTAGGGGGAGTTTTGTTTTGGTCACATTTGTCAGGGTTCCGTGCTCAACGTATGTTCAAATATGGTTTAGGCTTGGTCTGGAAATTCGATCGATTTCCCTGGAACCTACGGCAACAGTTGGCCCCCGGGAATTTATGTATTAATTTGGCGCTAGTACTGGGAACTCCAGTTGGGATAAGGTTAAGCCCAGGGCGACAAGTTGTCTGGCAGGTCAGGGGTCATTACATGCACAAAGATTCCGAAAGAAGTGGGAGCAACTATCTTTAGAGAGTGCCAAAGATATTAATGTGCACACTCCCCCATATTTATGGGATTTCCGTTGCAACTGCAACTGAAACTGCAACTGCATCTGCCTCTCGATTAGACCCACGGTGCTGATTGACTAACGACGACACCAAAAATACACACATACATATCTGCTCATCGTAAATATTTCGTCTCTCGATTATACAATATTTGATAAACAGTAATATATATTTTGTGTCAGCCTTATAGTGTTGTATAAGACCGGGTGTCGCTGCTAATCGCTCTTTCTGTATTTTAAAACATGTTTACGACTGGAGGCTCCAGCTGGGGCCAGAGTTGGTCGGCCATTAGTTTTGAGTAGCAACAAATGGAAACGGCATGTTAATTGTTCGATGAGGAATAGCAACAAATACAAATACTCGAGCCCGGCAAGACTCGATTAGGTAATGCACACGGGGCACACTTGGCACTTGGAAACCGCTGGAAAATTGTTGCTAATCGCTGCAGAATCGACACGAATACACAAATACACAACGAGTAAGTACTAATGCGGACAGTTGGGGACTATTAAACATTAATTGCCATGAAATCACTGGCTCGCCCACTAGCACAGGGTGCACAGGGGGGGGGGTGTGTGAGACAGTACTAAAACGCCCACTAAATGCACTCTGGATGAGTGTCAAACTTCAACTGTGACTTAATTCCATGCCACAGGCAGTAAATAGATTGGTTTCCAGTTGCTTTCGAGAAAGTTCTGTTGCTGAAATAATCTATAAATTATCTTTAGCTTGTTCCATTTGCAACTAAATTCTAATGGAGAAGCTCCCCACTCCACCCACAGTAATTTGTTTCTGTCTGTGGCGCATGCTGCTAATTAATTAAAAGCCCAAAATCGAATCGGTTAGGGAATTTACATATCAAAAGACCCCACTCAGATCGATTGACTCTGGAGAGACGCTTGTTGAGTTGGTGAGGGCGAGGGGGCGAGTCGATCTGTTGGCCGTTTATTTCAATTAAACGAAATACGAACACGAATTTTCTGCTTGATAAATGGCAAACATCAGGCAGTAATAAGCTAAATATTCAGCTCCAGCCTCTGGAATTCCATGGGTTCCATTTGCATTCGAGAACAAATTGAAGGCAAGGCCTTTTATTCTAATTGAGAATCGCATAAATTCATTTCGGGAATTGAGACATTTGTCAATCGCAGCGGACAGACAGACAGATGTGGATGGGATGGAAGATGTGATTTGGATTTGGATTTGGTGAGGGAAACCTACCTTGAGACTCGTCGAAATCCTTGGTGGTCATCTGGAACAGGGCGTCCAGGGGCGTTCCATTGGCCTTGGCCTTGGCAGCGGCAGCAGCGACTGCGGCAGCGTTTCCCCCACTGGACGCTCCACTGCTGTTCTGTGACGGACTGGAGGCACTCGCCGATCCAGCCGAATGGTGGCGCTCCCGCTCAGCCGACACCTGGGCTGAGGACTGCGGGCTGTGGCTGTGGCGGGCAGCAGCGGCGGCAGCAGCAGCAGCCGAGTCCCGGGAAATTTCCGGAGAGCAGCAATCGCTGGCCGCGGAACTGGAACGGTCCGAGCCGCTCTCCGAGGGAATGATGTCCATGCCCATGTGGCGCAGCAGCTGGGCCTGGGCGTTGAAGTGCTCCTGCAGCTGTCGGTGGTAGTCCAGGGCCAGCCGCTGCTCGTAGTGCAGCAGGGCGGAGGGAATGAAGGGGCGTACGGGCATGGGGCCGAGCAGGTGATCCCAGGGGCGTACAATCTGTCCACCGGGCAGGAGCATGGCTGCCGCGGCGTGATGTGCGTCCAAGGGCTCGGTGCGGGGCTGCAGGAGACCAGAGGACGGCCGGTTGGCGGGTGGGGCCAGCAGTGTGGCAGCCGGCGGTGGCGACACCGAGTCCGAGCGCTGCTTTTGCGAGTGCCCCAAAATGTCGGCAATGGAAAAGCTCTTGACGCCCTCAATGGACGCCTTGGTGGTGGTCTGCTGCTGGGACTCGGCGGCAGCGGGGGCCGGAGCCAGGGCTGGCGGACTGGGCGTGTGCTCGCGCGTCTCCGACGAGGAGGAGGACATGCGCAAACGCTTCAGCGGCTGAAAGTAGTCCTCCGGCAGACTGCCGACGGCCCCGCGTGTGAGTCCGGCGGCGGCTGCTGCTGCGGCGGCGGCATGATGCTGCATCAGGAACTGCTGCTGCTGGAGCAAGTCGATGGTGCTGGCACGCGGATGGTGCAGCTGGTGGGCGTGCGGATGAGGATGGTGCTGTTGCTGATGCTGCAGCTGCAGCTGCGTGGGCAGCGGGCTGGGGGCTCCTCCGACGGAGATCTCCGATTCGGCGGGGCTGGCCGGTCGCATGGTTGGAGGACAGAGCATTTAAGCTTCGGTCTGGCGGGGATTACTTGCTGTCACTTTGGTATCGCTCAAAGCACTAAACTGTGTTGTCGCCTTCTGCTTGCAGGTGCCAGAAGCGACGTTGCACTGATTCGATTGCTTCACTTTGCGTTTTGGTTTCTCAGCTAACGAACACGAAACACGTATCTCGGGACGTACATATGTATCTCGGATTCAAGCTCAAGTCTGTGAGTGTCAGGCGGTAAGCGATAGACGATTAACGAGAGAACGACGACGACGCTGATCCAATAGGAGGACCTCTCAACTCGACGTTCGAAATAGATTTGAAGATTGGTTCGCTAACTAGACACGTCGATATTTCTTCAGTTCTTTTGCTGCCCGCCGTCGCGTCACTCCGCTCCGCTCAACGCTAACACGCTCTGCTCGCTCTCTCTCTCTCTCTCTCTCCGCTCTCTGTGTCTCTCTCTCTTTGTGTGTGTCTGTCTCGCTCTGTTGCTCAGGCGCTCTCTCGTCTCCTCGTCGCGTCGTTCGTTCGCGTCTCGTTCGGCAATCAAATCATAACTGCACAACAAGCCGCAGCGCGCTCTCGCTCTCTCTTTCTCTGTCTCTGACTCTGTGAGAGAACCGGTTTCCATCAGCCGCGTGGGTTAGAGCGAGTCGGGTGGAATGATTCGCTGTCTCGCTCTGGCCGGCCTGTTCACCACCAATCGGCTACAGCAACAAAAAAATAGCAATGGTGGCGTATACGTAACGGTAATTATGGCGTTCATCATGCGGCTGGCGTGCAAGCGAGACGGCAATAGCGACGCTCCTCAGCTTGTAACGAGACTGTATTTAGTATTTTAGTCGCTGCAAAGTTTTCACAACTCCAAAGCCCAGCGACAGAGGCCATGGCGGCAGAGGCAGATGCACAGGCAGAGGCAGAGAGTTGTCGTCGTCTATGCTCCCCCTGCCCCATCTCCATCTCACCAACATCACCTCCCCGCTTAAGCATAATGACGATGACCCGCACCCAACAGAGCCCCTGGAGGCAGCCCGCGTTTAATTGTCAAGCGTTTGCAATTAATTTGCTGCAAGAAAAACGAACCATCAATTTGGGAGAAAGACAAAAGCCCCGAAAAAAAGAAAAAGAGAAACAATATCGCGAGTAGGGGAAATATAAAATGTGCATAAATTCGAAGACATTTGGAAATTAATTTGGCTCCGAGTTTCACGCAGCTATCTCTTGGGATGGATGGATGGATATGGGGTTACAGTGGATGTTGGTTAAGTGCAGCCTTACTTAATTGAGACAAATTGCTTGGTTTTTGTTTGTTACTCCTAATTGTTCAGTTAGTGCGGTAATGAAATTATAATAGTTTTATTGGTGGAAATTGTGTGACTTGTGGTTAATATACAGAGGAAGAATGCTGCTACTCCAGAGCCGACGGCTTTTTCACATTTTACGTGCATAAATTCCAATGTTCCAATTCCAAGTTTATCCATTAAACGGTATTTATGTTAACTAGGACTCTCACAGTAACAACCAATGTCTGTTGGGAAATATTATTATTGAATGTTGTCTACTTGCAATTACATTGTTGCCATGTTGCCATTAGCATCGGTCTAAAAAGGATATATACTAAATCTATCTAGAAATAAAAAAAACTTTGTTTTACCCTTTCCTTACCCGTTCAGTATTATTTATAGTGAAAAAGTAAGATAGCTGCATATATTTGGTAATATATTTCTGAACTATCTCTTACGACACCTACTTTTGACACCATTTTCAATTCACTTGATAAGAAAAAAAAAATGTAAATAACAGCGAAAATTATCCATCTATCCACATTTATTATTAATACAAGTTTGTTAGATTTATGTATTTTGTATAATCCAAAAAAATAATATAAAAGCACAAAATTGTTTAAATTTAAAACACAGCAGCGGATAAATCCAGCACCCAAAATAAGCGTAGATTAAAGAAAATTTGAAATTCTTTTTGTTTTTGTATTTGTTTTGTTTTCTGCTTGTCTGATCAGTCTCGCAGTACATCGTGCAGCAGTTCGTATTGAAGCCAATTTGCAATTGTCCACACATTTTAGCCAACTTGAAATGCTGACACGTACAGGCCCAACAAACATCTCCAAATCCTTTTAATTGAAACAAATGTGAATTGTTGCAACAATCAGCAGAGAACAAAGGCCACGGCAGAAGCAGCAGCAGCCGCAGGGGCAGTGACGGCAGCACAAAAGGCGTCAAGGCGTCTGAAGACAAAGGGCAAAGGTCTATTAAAGAAACATCGAAAATCGAAGCCAATTGCCGTCGCAGCAGGATGCTAAACGAGAAAGGAATCGACGGCGGCGACCACCGCAGGCTCAGCGCTCGACTTTAGCCACAGTGGGTCCCACAGCTCGGCTGGGATCGCTCCGACCCGGGTGCTGTTCCGTGTCCCAAGCGGTCCCCGGCACGGCAGCAGGGCTACCTGGCTATTGATAAGGACTAATCACACAAATATTTGAGCATTCGGCTTGTGATTGAGTTTCGCCGCAGTGCAGCGGAATAGAGCGGCGCGTTTGATTCCCAGTTTAGCGCTTCTGTATTTTTTATAATTCTAATTTCTTCTCTATATATGTATCTGGCTCTTTGTTCTCGGCGGCTATTAGTGTATCTATTAGATACACACGCATGCTGCGTGGGAAAAGCCGCGGTGTTAATTATGCCCCGTCGACCAGGTCCTTGAGTCGAAGTATCCTTCAAAGGGCGAGTCAATTTACACCTGTGCCCCCTCAGCCTCAGGGGCTCTGCCGCGGTCCCTACATGCTGTGTGTGTGGCTTCATTCACACGCTGATAAACTGGAGCCCCTCTATCGGCGGTGAAAGTGCAAGGAAAGGGTTCATTAATATTCAAATGCCGGGCGACGATTTCATTGATTTATCGTGGCAGCTGCCGGACAACAGCGGACAGCAGCCCCGCTGCAGCTGATACTCCCGGAAATGCTAAATTTTCTATAATTTAGATGGTCGCTCCTATCGCCAGATACCGCCTAAATAATCGCTTCAAAGCCATTTCATTTTGAGTTTGTATTAATCGGCGGGCTGGCTAAGCCACGTCGGGAAGCCACGATCCCGCCCACATTTGGATTTGCTGTGCATTTAGCGATGTGTCAGATGCACAATACGATTGTTACCGATAGTTTTACATTATTTTTAAGCTACGAATTCCAGAATAAACCAATGATATTTTTAGAAATTAATATAAATAAATCCTTAAATTATTTACCATGTACTTTTGAGTTCAAAATTTCTTCACTACTCCCCCAACAGTTGGCTGTACTATTTTCACTTACGATTCGTCGTGTTGTGCTACCATCCATGGCATACGCCCAAGTCTTTTAAACTATGCCCTGAGGCAGTGCAACCGGTGTCATAAAATTTCCCAGCAACAACAATAACTTGACTATAATTGTCAATTAGCAATCTTTCAACAGCAGCCTCGCCGACCCGTGTAGTCACAGATTCCATATATACGAGCATTTATTTATTTTTGTTGTTGCTGTTGTTGTTGTGCATTTTCTGGCTGCTGTGATTTTCCAGCCTCGAGCAATTTGCATATGCCACGGATGGAGTCGCTTTCGGTTCACATTTACAGCTGGGCGGGAGCTGGGCGAGCGACCCACGCAGCATTGACACATGCCCGTCACTTCCACTTGATGTTGTGCGGCAGATAGAAACTTGTGGCGCAGATTGGAATGGAATGGATTAGCTCGATGCCTGCCGCTTGGTAGCATATCGAAAATTGTATTACTACCGATAGCTAGACAATAATTATGGATTGACACGCCTTCAAGTTGCCCGCTTGATTTGGATTTTGGGTGTGTTCGTCTGACCCAAAATGGGTGGAATTCACGAGGCGCTATCAGACTTTGATTGGAGTTAGCTTAGAAAGGAATAGGGAAAATATCAAAAGAACTAATTTCGGAATTTAAACAGAGTTTAAATGGAAACATTCAATTGAAATAATCTAAGATAAATTTTTTTTCTTAGTTTATTTATGTAACTGACATTTCCGTAACCAATTCGACAATATAGCTTAAATCTTGATTAGCCAAGTTTTAGTCATTAGTTCAATGTGCAGTCCATTGTCTGCAGCTAAAATTTCTATCCCTGACCAGAGAATCAAAGAGAAAGTCTTATGTCGTTTTGTGCCGAAAAGTTGGAAAAAATTTCAGAAAAGAAAACTCATCAAAGAGGAAAGTAGTTAGGGCCAAAGACACACAAAAGACACTTGAGCTGGGGCGAGCGCGACCATTAAACATTGCCAATTTCACAGCAATCATGAGCATGGCCAAGAAAGCCCCCTAACCGAACAAAAGGTGGCCCAGAGGAAAAAGTAGCAAAGCGAACTAAGCTGTTTAGGGGGGCCACCCACAAAGAGAGCGCTGCCGACCAGAGTGTCGGGTCGAGTCTGGTGTCGCTGTCAAAGACTAGGGCCTCTCAGCCTGCTTTCGGGCCAAGCTTGACAGCAATGTTAGGCCTCTGTGGGGCACGCTAATCAAGCCGGCTAAAAGCTAAGAGCTAAGAGCTAAAATCCAAAAACTAACAGCGAGACAACAAATCAAACGCTCGATGGAAAGCACAAAAAACGGAAAACAATGAACAAGCGCATGCTAATTAAAGCGATGCTCAAATTGAAATGTTTAACTTTTTCATCTTCGTTTCTATTTTGGGGTCTTGTGCTTTTCGTTGTCTACTCTTTTGGGTTTTTCCTTTTTTTTTTTTGTGCTTTGGCTTTGGTGAGTGAGTGGGCCAAGCGAACCGCAGCAGAGCAGTTCGAGCCGGGCCAACAGTCATGCACTGAGGAAAATGATTATTTGTTTAGCTAAAACAATGATAATGGGAACAAAGAAGGATGAAGGATGAAGGATGCAAATATAGAATATATAGAATGCCATCCATATATTGTAGCTATGATATGATGGTCTCCAAATTAAATTGGGACACTTGTACTTAGGCTCTTGAATTTTCATGGGATAACCTCT